GAAGATTGTTAGATCGTAAAAAGGAAAGATGGTTAGATTGTAAAACGGGGAAGATTGTTAGATCATAAATATGGGAGATTGTTAAGTCGTAAAAATGAAGGGGAATAGTTCATCGTGCAGCTATGACCTCTCGTGGGTCGACAACCTCTCATTTCCTTACTGTCTTGTTATTGAGGGATCGGTCGCAGCGCTATTTTTAGAAAGAAAGAAATCGTGAAGTCCACTGGACGTAACACCACGAAAAGATAAAATAGACTCAAATTAACTGCAGTGGTGAAAACTACATCGTAACTGAAAAGACACGTCGCTTGATTTGCCCCTGGATAAAGAAATTTCTTTGTAAATGACCGAGTAATTTTACGTGTAGATTGAACGTAGCTTAATATTGGAATTAAATGGAACGGCTTCGTCAATTATTATTACATTTTTCCATCAACAGATCCTGATTCGAGCTCCTCGTGTTGCACGTTATAAAAATGGCTGTGTTGCGTAGAATAACACGTCAACTCGACGGATACACGGATTTATTAGCAAGAAATTAGATTCCTGCAAGACTGGTAGGTTCGGCGAGTAATTTCGTAGCATCGGCATACTAGAAAAATGAAAAAAAACAGGAAATTTTGCATACGCGGTATATCAGAGATGAAATATTTGCACGTTTCAGATTACATTTCTAGTTTCTTACCTTTCCACATTCAAAATAGACGTCTGCTAAACTTATCTCCAAAAGGTAGCGATGGATTTGCCCCTGGAAAAAGAGATTTCTTTGTAAATGACCGAGTAATTTTACGTGTAGATCAACGTAGCTTAATATTGGTGTAAACATTGAACCCCTATTTTTGTGTAAATAAATTGTAGAACGAAAAGTGCAGATAATTTTTGACTCACCGTCGCAGATTAAATCTTTGTATACATATCGCGGGTGTGACTGTGTGTGTGTTTGTACATAGAGGGGTGTGAGGGAATTATTCCTGGTTTTTTATGATAGTGGAAGAGGGAGGGAAAAGGCCCTGGAGGAACTGGATGGACACGAGCCTGGGATATCTCTCTCCGGGGAGATAAACCGGGATAAATCGGTCTGGAGGATTGGAGCGAACTCTGTCAAGGAGTTCGGGGATGTCCAAAATTTCAGGGAAGGTCCCTGGTGGGAGAGGACGGGTGCGAGGAGGAATTTCGCGGATTAAATTGTAAAACTGGTCGAAGGTAATCCGTCGATTGCGGGTTAAAGGAGGGGGTTCAAATTCCTCGACGATCTCTATACTAGAGATCGAAGAGGCGGAGGACGGAGGCCTGTTGTCAA